CTATTTGGTAGTTGGAATAAATGCATCACGTTAAAATCAAACACTTGTTCTCATAAATAATAGCTAGAAAGAAGTACACATTAATCGAGAAATATTTTTTTTTAAATTATACCCAATGATTTGAAAAACTTAAGAATATAAACCTGATAAGAAGCCTGCATTAATCTGAATACGGTTTAAGGGTGAAGAAATTATGAGCATGTAATGTACTAGCAAATATTAGGGAATTCGGAACTTTTGGAACTACTATGTAGTGAATTATTATCTTTATCATGTCACTTAAGTAATTTGTTTATAGTATTTTAATCTTGATCCATTTTCAAGGCTTCGTTTAATTCATTAACAGTCGGTATACGTTTTACCATTCCTAAATCACTGTTAATTTATTACGTACCTATTACCCAGTTTTGTAACACTCCTGGCTTCGTTATTTACAAACCATGACTTTTTATCTGTGGTATGTGGTCGTCTGTTAATCAATGTATACAATCCTATTAGTGTTTGAGTTATATAAGCACAAGGTTACTCGACCCGCTTTGTTCGACTTCTGACCGGCTATTAGAAATGCGGTAAACTGTGTCTTCGATCAACAGGAATAAGGATTTTCACTGTTATTGTGTACGGCCATTTGTTATTCGTCAAATTATGTTATTGATTAAGTGAAGATCAGCTGTCAGATAAGCATGAAGCTTACGCGAAACTAGTGGGCTATATCTCATGATTCAATTAAGAACATGTAGAAGGATTGAGGATCACATCAAAGAAAGGTTAGTCGAGACTAGAATGTTGTACCGAACAGCACTTCTCCGACACTTGATAATCCCTTTTGAGCAAAAATATTCAATGAAACAATAGGTCACTTTGATTATTTAATTCATTTTTATGCTAAAATCTGTCCAATAACACAAATACTCATGACATATTATGTCGAACGTCCTTTATCAGTTTACATGTATGTTCTAAAGCTATTACGTCGAGAAATCAGATAAACAACTACTCAAAAACCTTAATGAACACTTTCCAAAGAAACTTTATCGGGATAGCCAAACATCACTTGAGCGTTATGTGCCTCAAATGGGATACGAGGAAGATATCAAAAGTATTTCTATTTTAATCAATAAACAGTGAAAGTGTGATTCACTTGAATTTAGAGATCATAGTGATTAGAAAGTTAAAATATAACTTCTATATTCTGGAAAACTCGAAGGTTTCGAATTATCAATCATAGGTAGAAACGTAAACAACGTAATTTATTCTCTTCCTTTTCAAACTATGATGACAGTTAATACTGTTATAATAATATACTACCGTTAATATTGAAAATCTGTCACTATAGTTACTTGATAAAAATTTCTTCTAAAACACTTTTTACTCTATTTTCAATAATCAAATGCTCAGTAATGAGTAATAGCATTTCTCAATGTGAAGATATATCTTCAATATACTGGAATTGTGTAGCTAAATTAACAGCTGATATCAACCTTTTTAGAAGAATGGTTTTATCCATCCGTCAGTTGATAAATCACCTAAACGAAACACTGATTACATTAAAAGACACAATAACTACTTCTAAATGAAACAATTTCTTCTGTAAAATATTACAAAAATCTATTATTGGGAATAAATTAAAGTGTGAAGAGTACTAGTGCAATAAAGAGAAATAAACCGGTCAGTATTCAAAATTTCTACTTTTTGTTATGAATATCCTGTGATTTGGTTATGATCACTGCATATTTTCATGAATACTTTAAAAGAAATTTAAAACTGAGTAATTAAAAAGCTGAAATTAATACCACAACGATCAGTTCAAGTGCAAAATGTTGCGTCAAGAATGGTCTCCATCACTACCTGGCTTATGAAAGGAAGTGAAGTAACTAAGTGCTCTAACCATTTCACCAGCCTTGGTGAGTTGGTATCCGACTAAACCTCTGCATGTATTCAGAAATCTTCGTTGGGATTTTCAACTTGCGTCACATGTGACGTAGTTGCTTATCTACCGACCAGAGAGAGAAAATACCGAAAAGCGGCCGCTCTGAATTAATTTAAGACTGCCAAACAGACTTGACGATAGCAGACACATGTAAGCTGGACAATTTTAATCATTCGTATTTTCAAAGCTTTGTTCGAAAATCATGGATTGACCGAGTGAGCGATGTTGAGGTTGAGCGTAGAGTATTTGGTATTCCAATATCTGACTCAGGTTAGATCAGATGGATGATTATTATAGAAATGTACATGTCGCCAATTCTTGTATATAATCATCCACTTACATCGCGTTGGAGAATAACGCAATTAAAAAAGTCGAATACAAGAATAGATATTTGAATGTGTATATTTCGTACTATCGTTAACCTGAACAGATGATCAAAGAAACGAAGCGAAACGAAATAATGCATGGTGGATAAGGTGGATAAGCCAAATCCACTTAGCCAAGGGTGAATATATATTTATAGTCAGACAAAAATATGTTACGGATATGTGATGAGTCGGATAACAAATGCACACGCTTACATAGAAACAATCAAGGTCGATGAGCGAATAATCAACAAGGTCAAAATGTGAATCAAGAAGATTGGATAGATTGGCCTGTCCGGACGCTAGTATAAGCTATTTGGGAATGAATAGCAACCGAACTACAAGTACTAAGCAAAGATGACAAGTCGGTTGACGAGGTTATGAACATTAATCAACCTAGGTGATTAGTGTATTTATTACATATGCCTGAACACTGTCTATTTTGACGAGCCATACTTGCTGGTATAGGAATGAGTTGGAATAAAGCTTACTTACTTACTAATGCCTGTTACTCCCAATGAAGCATAGGCCGCCGACCAGCATTCTCCAACCCACTCTGTCCTGGGCCTTCTTTTCTAGTTCCATCCAGTTCTTGTTCATTTTTCTCATGTCTATCTCCGTTTCTCGGCGTAATGTGTTCTTTGGTCTTCCTCTCCTCCTTCGACCTTGAGGATTCCATATGAGGGCTTGTCTTGTGACGCAGTTCGGTGCTTTCCTCAATATGTATCCTATCCAATTCTTTCTCAGCTGGGATCTGATTTGTTCTCTCCCACAGTAGGTTGTCGCTAATAGTGTCCGGCCAACGGATCTGAAGTATTTTGCGTAGACAACTGTTAATAAACACCTGTATCTTCTGGATGATGGCTTTCGTCGTTTTCTAGGTTTCCGCCTTAGAGTCCCTCCGGGGGCTGCTGCCGGTCCCAAGCCCAGATAAAGGACAAGGGTTGAGCATGGGGTTAGAGACCCCATCCCGTAGAAAACTAACTCGCTAAAAAAACTCTGACCAGAAAAAATTATTCAAACCTGGAATAAAGCTAAGGGTAGCCAAACCACCACATGTAATCAGTTTCTGTAGTCATCGAGTATTTTTCTAAACCTTACTAGTAGAAGCAGACTACTTGATTGGGATCCGTATAAAGATAACAATTAATCGCTGAAGACTGGGTGAAGTATCTCAGAATCGGTCAAAATTGCGTAGATACATTTACTGTATATAATTATCTAGATTTTGAGTTCCAGAATTCATTTACTCAAACCTTTACATCATGTCTTTTTTAAACATAATCTTTATGCTTAATCTCTTTCATTACTGTTACAGATACATCATTTCGACTTATTTATTATTCATTGTGTTAATTCAATCACATTGTGTTAATGTAGTACGACAATTTGGGTCAACGTAAATCACCATCTTTTTTAACTGAACGCATACATCACTTATTTAAAACATTGTTTTCAATTACGTTAAAATGAAACATTGATGAATTTGGTTTTTGCTTGATAAAACCTTTTAGACCTACTTAATTCACCTACATTGTTATTATAAATAAATCTACGATCAACTGAGAAATATCTAAATGAAAAACTTGAAGGTGATGACAGAATCAGAATTTATGAATTCTGTAGTTCTGCACGCACATCTATTAAAACTGGACATTAAAAATAGAATTCACATATCACAGATTCGCATACTTTTAAAAAAAAATCTTTCTTATATTTACGTCTACATAGAGTAAGTCAATTGGATGAAAACTGTCACGTCTTTTATCAGCTTCAAAAGTTTAAGTGTCTGGAAAGTCATTGGTTAAACATGATTTTATTCATAATAAAAGGAAGTTAACATTTAAGTGTTCTTACTCACACTAAGAATAAAAGACAAGTATTTTATCATGTGCATGAAATTGTGACAAGGACAATTGTTAAATCGTTTGATTGTAATAACCCCAAAAGTTTTTTAGATATCTGGTATAATTTAAATGTAAACTCTCCTATTAACCTTCACAGTAACACAAAAATATTGAGTCGATAACAGAGCATAATGTATGTAACAAAATATGGTAGACCACCTTTTTATGCACATTTGAAAAATGCTTATTAAGCAGGAATGCGTGTATGGAGTCTTTAATATCTTAGAAGCATTAATTAATTTAGCTGAGATAACCCATTAAACCATGTTCATGTTTGCTGGGGATAGAAATCCGCACACAATGAAAAACTCACTATAACTCATTACTTAAAAAAAGTACGTGAATAGAGCATCTTGATCAAGACAGTCATATTGTTAGTAGGTATGAAGGATTCATAAAGTAGTCATCAAACCAAGACAAATACATTAGTTTATGAACTCAGTGGTTTTGAAGTGTAGCCGTAATTACTAAGTGACAACTAGATAATAAGGATAAGTTGGTAGAGGTTACATTTGGCACAAACAAAAGTCAATCGCAGTTACACAGATTTGTTCATTCTTTAATTTTATCAAAATGTAGAAGAAAATAATAACGTTTGTGTAATAAGTAATAACAAGCAAACATTTATCATCATCAATAACAAAACTAGTTTCGATCTTCTGAAAAAATACCTCCAAAGTAAACATTGCAAGGGATTCAAATTCGAAAATTTGGTTTAAAAATCTAGTAGTAACCCAATTTCTTATGATAAGAGAGCATGAGATCAAATATGATGCATTAAAATAGTTGAAAACTTACTTTTCTGAGCACCATAAAACGCATTAGGAAAAATACTCCGATAGATGCCAAACCGCTTAGAAGAGGTGAGAGAAACCATGATCCAACTAAATTGAAATCGATAAAACAATGTAACAACAATTAAATAGACGTTATCTATTTTAAAAAGTAGTGATGCTCACAAGTCATGTTGGGTTAATAATAAACAAAATGTGATATAATCATTATTGGGTATACAGTTCATGGGGGATAGTAAAAAGTTAACAATTAATGTCGTAGACTTAATTTATTTGCTCATTATTAATATTGGTGTGTTATTTCATTTAGTCTTTATTTTGAAACAAAATCTTATATAACATTATCTAAACTATAATGAGACAATGTTATAAGATACTTTCGTAAACGCTATACGAAAGGTACAATTTCTATTTGCGAAATTCTCAGAGATTAAAATTCAATAGTTATAACAATTCGCCTAACTACAAGGAAATAATCAAAATTATCTAAAATAGAATAAGTTGAAAGTTATTTTACACTAAATTGTTCAATTACATGCTAATGCCGATCACATTTACAGTATTAACATGAATCATTCAGTGAAAAAATATATCAGAACAGCCGTATATGATGTGGACGTCATTCTCATAGAGTGGTTATAAAAGGCATTACGCCATGGTCAGAATTACTTTCGACCTAATCTATCTTTGGTAGTTTTGACTTTTCCCTGCAAAAGCTCAGATTGGACTGCCGAGTCAAACTTTGAATGCATTTCATTTGAATTTCTGAGATTTTTACAGATATAATTTTTAACCAATTTCTTCCACAACCAATGCTCGTGAAAATACTCGCCCAAATCTTGACGAGACTTCAGTTACAGTACTAAACATGTAAAACTGATAGATGACATTGTAAACCCTTGAGTTAATGAAATGAATGCTGGTCACGAATGCATATCTGGATGTTGACAAAAACTGGACATTGATGACCAACTTTAACACAGACAAGCAGAATTGAGTCTACATGTTGAACAACTGAAATGTTTGCAACAAAGTTGACAATTTCTAATTACAATTTATAAAGATACAATCTTTAAATATTAATAAGAAATCTGGTAAAAGTATGGTGTGCAGACGAGCCACTCACAGTCAACAGTGCAAATTTTAGGCTTTTGCGTGAAATTATGTATAATGAACAGTACAAATACTTTCGTATGTCTTTCAAAACGTTTGAAATGATTGTAGATAATTATTTTTTGCAACTATAGAGTAAAAATGATAATACTAAACGCATCAAATGATCAATCCTTTTTCTGTAGATTATATATAACAGGCAAATCGACGCCACCCCTATAATCCTAACTCTAAACTTTTAATCCTGTAACAAACTTTAACCTCGTAGCAGTATATGGACGAACTAATCAGATAGTGCCTTTTGTATTCTCGAGTGAAATTCATTCTTCCATATGGTAATAAAGTAGTTTTTTCACTTCAGCTGACGCCATTTCGTGATGAAAACCCTAACTCTAACTTGCAACAATGTAAGGACTCCTGAGAATCTGTTGGGGTCCTTTAAATTATTCAAAAAGATGGACGGTCTACATTCATGGGGACGAGTTTATATGTAGTTGTTTCTTCAACTTACAAACAAAGTAACTTTCAGAAGACATTGATAGATTTATTTTGTGAAATCTGTATACAATTCCTTTACATAACCTATCCATTTATAAAATCTATTTTCTGATTGTTTAGAAACTAGATAGAAATTCGTCGCAGTTATTTTAAACTCATCCTTACATTGTACTTTTACCAGAAATACTAGCATTAATCCAAAGAAGTGTTCGCCATTTTCATAATTTACAATGGATATTACATTTTTATCCCCTTACTATTCTAGAAAGCATTCACTTATGGTAATTGTTAAAGTGTGCATCAGAAAATCAAACGATTATTAAAACAATGCATTTGTAAGTTGAACTTGCACAGAAATATGTTGTGGCTAAAAATAAAATCAAATGATAAAAGAAATTTCGTGATCAGTATGTAGATCGGTTTAACATAAGATGGTTAATGTTAGCATGCAATAATTACATTTTGAATGTATCTACATTGGTTACTATCAACATGAGAATATTTCATCTTTTCCTAGTCTACCAATGAGAATTCTTAAAATCGTTTGAAACTGACTAGTAAACATAATAGCTTGGACAAAATTTTATTGGACACAAAACTCAGTTAATATTTTCGATTCGATATTTCCTTAAAAACAGATTTCCAGTAGTTCTTTTTAAGAGAATTAAGTTTATGTTTCTCATGATCAATAAAGTATGGCTCGCTTCTCGTTCATCACCAAAACCGAATCATCCAAACATATGAATTAAAAACACCTTTGGTTTCCATAATATTTAAGCATTGTAGTAATTTGTTATATTAGTTAGATATTATAATAAATAATTTGTCGATAAGAGAAATACTTGATTTTGATACTTAATAATCTTGTTGTCCAAGAAATATAGGTTAAAGAGCTTGACTAAGTGATTGAAGTTTGGTGAAAGCCGTATATCAACTTATTGGCTTGTTTATTAAAAGAATCATATCTTAACAGGTTATATCACCGGATTTTTAATCACAAATAAACCAAAAACTTAATTTCATGCAGTCAAACAGTTAACTGGAGAATGAAAGAAATTTCAAAACTTATGTAACAATATGTATTATTACACGCCTACATGATTTATTACAACACTTGCACAGAATTTATTCTAATCCTTCCAGTTATTCTGTGGCACATACATTTATTCTCGTTAATTAGTCCTGTGTAACCTTGAGCACGTTTTATACATCTGTGTATAATAGTACGTATATGCATATCCCATTCCTGTATTTCTTACATGATTTATAAAAACTGAGTCACCTTACTATTCTCTGAGTCGGTGTACTGCCGAACTCCAGTGCTTTGTACACTCTGTAGACATTTTATTTGTCTGTCTGTCATTCGACATCAGCATGTTTGAAGTATACGTACAAGTCGTACTTGACTTTTATTATCTAAGTTGTATCAACGTGATTTTTCGACAGAATGTATACGAAGTAAGTAGGATATACGTTTCATTGGTATTATTATCATTTGATTATGTAGGCATCAACAACGGAGATATTAAATGTAATATTTAGTAAATTACATTAAAATAATGTTCAGAAATAAAGTAATCAAATCGTTTATGAACCATATTTCATTGATAACGTTTTAAATAGTCCGAAAATATGTCTTCTGTCTAGTTCATTAATTTATGGAGAATAATTCATTCTAAAGTTAGGTTTCATCAGGAAGTCATCGATAACAATGAATATTAATATAGCTATCTATTGCTAATTGGTTAAATTCAGAAGAATGTGAATTACTGTTATAATTCCTTGTGAAAACTAATTCCAAAATGAGGAAAAAATTTTAACAAACCAGTCATCTCAATTAACATAAGTCTATACAGCATGAATGTATCTAAAGTCAAGTGAAGAAACTGAACAAATTTATCCTACTTTAAAATAAAAGATAACTAGCCCTTTACAAGTTATAAGAAAAAAACTATTTTAGGAAAACTTAACTAAGCTCTGTATGAAAATATTTGATTCGTAGTTTATAGAAACAAATAAAAGGAATTACATAGAAAATAAAGTCCAAGTTACACAATTAAAGTCAATTATATACAATAACAACATTAGCTATCGTTACCGTTCTAGAATATGACCATGATAGCATTCCATATTTATATACAAACAAATAAAATGAACAGTTCTACATGTATAGTTGCATAAAATATAATATGTAAAAACAGTAGATTACAGTCGAGTTATCAAATTATGTAGTATGAATATGTTATACAAAAAGTTAATACTCATTCAATCCTTATAAGTATAAAGTGTCAATAAGTAGAACAGTAAATTAATTATAATCATTATCGGAAGCAGACATCAAAAGGATGAATAGCAACTGGAAACAACTGTAAAGGATTGCCCAGGACAGAGTTGGTCTCAGAATGCTGGTGGACGAACTATGCTCCTCCATGAGGGGTAACAGGCATAAGCAAGCAAGTATTATTATTATTATTATTATTATTATTATTATTATTATTATTATTCAATAATTCGGTATATTTAATTGAACTGTCATACGATAGAAATGAATGTAGGCAAAGTATAATCAAATCCTGAAAATGTACGAAATTGATTACAGTATTTTTAGTGTGAAGTAAATATCGAAAAGGTGTACATTTTTTTTATTTAAACATGGAAAGTCATGTAACTTTCAATAAAAAAGACCAATGTGAATGAAAAATAAAGCCTAGAAATACAATGTAAGTTACATTATTCATCAAATAGTATCATGTTTCTTCTCTAAATTACTTATAACACTATTATTATGATTATAAAACTGCTCAGTAGTTCAAGTAATAAAAATATATTATTTGGTCTATGAGATTATTCATTATATTTAGTTTATTTCAGTCCACTATTATATAAATCAATACCTACATAGAATATATAGATTTTCCATCCAACCAATGTCATCACTTATATTACAGCAAGTACTGTTCATAATTAGGTGGTGAAGACTCAGCGTTATCAAACCATAAATAATAAATACATACTAACTAATTGTAGCATTTCATAGCAGAACAAAAAGAGAAAAGTGTTGAAGTAAACACAGAATATAGGCAAATAGGAATGTTTGTTCAAGAAAAAAAATATTATTTCTAAAATACCAAAGCGAAGGACAAATAAACAATAGAACAAGTAGCAAACTGGTCAGGAACGATTAAATTTTCACTACTTGAAGAAAAAATAGATACGAAATATATCTTTGCACCGACGACATCATACTCAAACGACTGTATCTAGTGTTCTCCTGTAAATATAAATCAAACGTAAGTTTTGCTTTGGATCTAAGATAACTCATTCTACTGCAAAATATATCTACGTTAACTTCATTTTCAAAAAACTGCGACTATTATTATTTGATTTTGTTCTAAATATAGAAAATCGAAACATTACTTCAAGCAACTCAGTGTATTGTATTTTTGCGTTGTTTGTGGAACCATCATTGTGACAAAATTCGCATATGCATATAATTTTACATAATTAGTAGAAATCAGCTGAGTGAACACATACAATCATTGTTGAGTCAAATGATGAAATATACCGTCTAATTCTGATCACTTAACATGGGAAAACACTTACATCAATAAAGTAAGTCTATTCCAGGAACAAACTGTTTGGCTATATACATAGTGTGCAGTAGAAACTGTTCCAAAACGTATAACCATATATACAAAAAGTGATACGTATATAAAATCTGACACTTATCACTTTTGTTCTGTAGATAGAAAGTCCTGGGTTTGAATCCCGGTTCTGGGATCGTTGGTACACACTATTTAGGAGTCACACGCTAGAACAAAAAGGCGGTCCAGTGCTTCCAACTTTCGAATGGTTGTCTGATTTAAATCGGTTTGTGATTTCATTGAAACTCAGCAATCTCCACAACCTCAGACTGACAAAAATATTTGAGGTATTATGATTCCAATGTAGTTAAAAAGCGATAATAAGGAAAAACAAACTATGTTTAGATTTTATAATGTAACTTGTATAGCTTATTAATTATCAGAATGTCTTATGGTTTAAAATCTCTCCTAGGTTTTATTAAATCATCCGTTTTTTGTTAGGCTTTCCTAAATCATGTGGATTATCCTACGCTCCAGTATAAGAATACAACAAAGTAAAATTTACGAAATGTTCTGCAGTTTACTATTGAAAATCAAGGTGCATAAAGTACATTATATAGATAGCCATGTTTAGTTGTCCAGACCTAAGCAATTATTTATATATTAAAAGGGAACCAGATTTTACTAATAGCTAACATAAGAAAAATAGTTTAATTCATAAAGATACTGTGAGGATCATTAATGCTTAAGCATTTGATGTATAAAAGGACAAATTACTCACATTCCTAAACATTTATAAATGGTAATAATAACCTTACTAGCAAATAGAATTTACGCTGTTCAAGTTTGAAATGGAACTCAAACTACAAAGTTATGAATCCGTATGAAATCTTAATCATTCATATAGCGTTAAAATCTTTACTACACGAATAAATAATTACTGCAGTATCGAGTAAACAACATCGCTACTAAATAATTTATTCTCATTAAATTATCAAAAGTGTATTCAGAAAAATAATTATCATGTTCATTATTTTTATATTTTAAGAAAATTCTTACCAATTTTGAGTAGTCCTTTCCATTGAATAGCATTGAGTCCAAAGACAACAAGACTAAAACCCATCGTTGCACCTACAATACTATGTGTGCCAGAGACTGGAAGACGGAAGAATGTAGCAACCAAAAGCCAAATACAAGAACCTATAAACAAACGAAACAAATATAATAGAAAATGGTTACTCGAAATAGTGAGTATCCCCGTAAACTGTATCAGTATATGTATAATTCTATGAATTCAGTTTACTAATGATAAAGACGTATGATTATCAAATACGTCTATTTAATGTCAATTATTTGATATTCGAGTTTAATTAATTGATATGCGCCCGTCAGAACAGAGATTAAGAAAACTAAGAAGTTATCTTTTAACCATTATACTAACTACGCTAAATACCTGAAATAATCTCAAAAAGTTATAGTTAGTCCCAAATTGAATAATACATAGTAGCAATGTATATATTTAACTGTTTGTCATGAGTTCATTAAACCCAATATTACAGACTTCAAGAGAACATAGCATTTGCTAAACAAGTATACAAATATCTAAGGAGTTCATTTTTATTAGATAAAAATAAATAGCATTAAGAAATATGACTACCACAAATGAAGCCAATAATAAATTTTGTTAAGTCATGAGGAGTAACAGGCGTAAGTAAGTAAGTAAGTAAGTAAGTAAAAATCACTTTACAACAAAGATTATTTTAACAGGAAATTAGCAATCACCTTAAGAAAAGTAAATATTTGTTAAGAATATGGAATATAAATGTGTCAACTAGACATTAAAACTATAATCACAAAAACTAAGTTTAATTCTGCACACAGTTTCACTCAAACATAGGACAAAAACTAACAAATAATTTGACAATTATTTTATCAATATTGTAATAAGTATTATTATTATTATTATTTTAACACATAGATATCGGTACAAGAAGGCACCAAATACATATGCGCCACACAGATCTCATTTGATATGTGTGAGGGCTGTGATGCTGCCCGGGTGCCCAAATCGAAGCAGGTGGTTTTCTTAGGGGCCACACCCCGAGCCTTTGACCTGAAGATCTGATCCACAAGGCAATGGAGCATCATGAGGAGATGCAGTCCCATGGTAGCCGGTGACCAACTATTGGTTCATACGCCATTTTGTTCCCGCAGGATACCGGAGCCCATGTGCACCATTGATTTGGGGTCCGGTTATAGCGCCGGACATTTGCTTTTCGTCCTCTCATTTTCGTAAACAACACCCCCGCCACGAGAAGGCAGTGAGTAGGACTTCCCTGGCAGGGGCTGTATACGCGTGGCCATGTGAGAGCATTTCGAGAGGAGGAGCGGACTCCCCCCACTCTCGGCCATACCAGGGCATTCGGGGGCCATTGTAATAAGTACGTCATTGTTTTGGGATAATGAAATCTCCTTTCAAAACTGACTAAATATTTAAGATTTTTAAAAGTTGCCATCAAATGTTTTATTGTACAAAAGACATTAAACAGTTTGGTAACAACTGTAATTCGACATTTGATATTAGTCAATCACAACGTAGAACCTATACGCATGTACATCGGTTCAAGTTGCCATACCACAATAACACAGAGAGATGAAGTTGTCAGACCAAATCTTAGAATAGTAGAGGTAGTAACAGCATCAGTGGTAATAGGCAAGATTAGACATCGAAGATATGACTCGAAAAAAATATAGATTAGCAGAATAAAGACAAAGAATAGATGCACCTGAGCCGTTCCAAACGATTTAGAGCCATGTCATTCAAAGTCTCCAACCATTGGTTACGATAATCACGCAACCCCCAACCAGGTAGTACTTATTTACATTAGTTAAATCCAAATGTCAGTGACTTCATAGACTGATGTCATGTTTTGGTTTGGCAGCCCCTGGCTTCCCGCCAGTCTACTCCCGCACCAGAAAACATCGACTGTCGAGGTAGGCGGTGGTTGGGCATACGTTACACATGTCCCAAACACCTCAGCTGATAAAGATTTATTAAATCATCAATCGATTTTCTATCTTTGCTTAGTATTCTATTCCTAACCCAGACATTGAATATTCCGTGATCTCAAAATACACTTCTAGTGGCACTATATCTGACTCCAGTTAGATCGTTTCTGATCGTTATCGAGACATACATGTTGTCAACCCTCGACTTAACTCGCGTCAGTGAATAACGGAATTAAAGTAAGACAAATACAAGAATCGGTTTTGAATACGTATATTTTGTAAAATCGTTGATTGGAATAGACAATCAGAAAGACGGGGTGAAGGAAGAGAAGAGGAGAAGGTGGAGCGAAACGAACCGGAGAAGACATGTGAATCAAATCAACTTAACCAAGCGTCACTCAATATTTCTAGTCAGACAAAAAATCAAGTTACATACATGTGATGGGTCGGATAACAAATGCACACACATACGCTTACATAAAAACGGTCAAGGTTGATAAGCGAATAATTAACAAAGTCGAAAATGTGACTCAAGGAAAATGAATAAATTGGCCTGTCCGAAAGCTAGAATAAGCTATGTGGGCTTGACATAGTCCCAGCCACTACAAAGCCCCCCTGTAGAAAATAGCAAATTAATTTCAAAATGTCTGTTTTCGAAATTAACACTGAAGATGTGTTCAGTTAACGAAAACAATAAGTAGCGAAAAGAAATTGTACTATATCTGATAAAGTAGTGTCGCCTGAGTGTATTGCACGAAATTGTTATACTTATGTAAAAACGTTCATGAATATCGTAAAGATGGGGACAAAAAGTGGACTGTTAGTATGCGATTATGAGCAAATTATTAAGCGTACCAAAAATTAACATGCATTTATTTCGTGACTGTTTGAATGATTGAATAACACGTTCGTATGAGCGATTCAAAAGATCGTGAAAACAGAGTGATAAATTGTTTATGGGTATGACAGCGGAATATACCGTGAGAATAAATAGGACAGAATATAACAGAAATTTGTCTGTGGTGCCGTCTGAATATAAGAACAAAGAACCGTAAAATATGATGTTCTAATAAGCCCTAGTAGAGTAAGTAGAGTTTATTAGCGATTAGTGCATTCGAATCCACATACATGGAGTTTACGTGAGATAAAAATAATCCAGCCATAAAATGATAACTGCATTGATGGGTGATATTCGTTGCTGGACTGCAATTGATAATAATAATAATAAAATGAGAAGTTAGCGTACGTTGTTGCTCGCGTCATAACCAGATGCATCGAGTTATCGTTGAGTATGTATGAGAATATGATAATTATAATCGTAATAGGATGATCCATCAAATAGATAAGTGAGAAAAGTTGACACGAAGACACATTACACATCGATGGCGCAAGATTCCAGGGTCCTAGCTAAAGGAGACTGTTGTCCCATCTGACACAAGGTTCAAACATTACGAGTTCAAACATATAGTTTAGAGCATAGTTTCGAGAGACCAGGAATAACATTTCGTGAACTCAAATCATTAATGTTAGTGGCATGTATTGATAAAGATAAGTAAGAAGGGTTAGTCATGGGGATGGAAGAATTATTAAGAGATGAAGGGGTGGTTCGATCGTCAACAAGATGATATCAGGTGCTGATAGTAGTATTAGAGCGGTTGTCACTTCCTGGTTGCCTACACCGCGGAAAGATATTTCTCTTGAGGGACCTGAAAAGGATGTTGAATTAGTGGTGGTCTTGGCGAACTATGAGTGTGACCACAGAGCTCAAGGGACAAATGCTTAAGGCCAATCGCGCACGGGCTTTATATGGGACGTTTTGATGAGTTTGCTCCGCACTTCAAAACGCCTAACCGCCGGATGCAGATGCTTGTTGTCCAGAGAAAATACCTTACTGCATCCATACCCCACTACAGTCAGCAGTATGAACTGGCCCGCGGGCCTTAAGTTGCCACCTTTAATATTACCGTCTTCCAACCGACCTCCCTGGTATGGTAGTGTGGTGTGGGTTACTTATATCCACGCAAATAGTATATGACGGTGGTCAGGCATAGAATGTATTTCAGTAGAAGATCAATGAGGAAAGAACGGGAACAAAACTCAATTGGTATGAAAACGCATGAACAATGAAATCTGAGACAATGGATTGATGTTTGCAACAGGAACAGTCAAGTTTGATATGATGGATTGATATTTTGCAAATTAACGATTTCACTGGTTGAAATCATGAGTCCATTGAAGCTAGACCACCACGGAAAACCTGAAAGCACTGGACGACCGTTTCGTCCTAGTATGGGACTCCTCAGCAGTGTGCATCCACGATCCCGCTCCTCGCGAGACTCGAACCCAGGACCTACCAGTCTCGCGCCAGGCGCTTAACCAACTATACCACTGAGCCGGCATCCAACGGTGTTAATGTCTAACTTCAACCAATCCACGAAGTTGCGCCACCGTACACCATTGTCTTCAGTGAGCTGATATCTTACAACAGACGATTTAATATATGGTTCTCAGATTTTATCGAGATGCTCTGTAATTATGTGCTCAAATACATTCGATTTTCCCCATTGGTGTTCTTGTTCACTACAGTAGGACCTAAAGAAACATGTACTCCAACCAACGTAGTTCAGCAGAATCATCACGATAGGCAAGTCCGACCACCACATCAAGATAGATGCTACGGTCGACCGAATGTTGGTATATATATATATATATATATATATATATATATATATATATATATATATATATATATGGAGAAGTTTTCGAAGTGAAATAGCTCATTATCACTAGGAGAATTATTATCTTATCAGTTTTATTTAATTCATGTATAATTGTGAGCACCAGTGATTAAATGTAGTTGATTACTTTTTAAAATGCAGAAAAACATTATATAGTGAAAAAAATACTGTTTTCATAGACCTACCACCCAGAGCAGCAACCTGTCCGGCCATCAAGAGTACATGCCCGTTGTCGATGGTTTGAAAAAGTTCGACACTAACAATACCTTTCCGTATGGTATTGGAAACTTTGGCACCTGAAGAAGCACACACGTGTATATATAACCAAACTAAATTTACCTAAAAGAACAGAACCACTTAATTCACAGATTGTGGCAAGAATACAAGCTTGTTTCAGTGTTAATACTTTGGCCCCAACACTAGTCCCGAATGAATTTGCCACATCATTTGCACCAATTCCAAAAGCAAGAATAAAAGCTATTATAAAACCAACAACGACCATCCATATTTGGTCCTCAGGGATCAACATGGTTCATAAGAACCAAAGACTGCAAGATAAGATCTTAATATCACACGCTGAAGTAAACTGGTGGGTTGAAAAATAGAAAACAGATGTATTGTAGATGTGTGCTGATAAACAAAGAACAACACCAAAGACATATGTAAATCTGGTTATACGAACCTAAGTTATAACTTAGATGAATGTGAACCTTCCCTAAGTTTTTAGAGATAAGCTCGAAATAATAAAACAAGATGATCTATTAGATCACGTGAACACTTTTTCATTTTTTAAGATTTAAGCTAGCATATAACGTTATGAAATTTCATGCATTCATGTCAAACACTTTTTCACCTAAATGCACAGTTTTGTAATTTTCCCATACTGTTTCTACAGTGTCGAAGCAAGAGAGAGGAAAAATGTATTTCATAAACTTCATTTTTTGTTGAGCTGGATCTATAAAATGTAGTCAAAAATTTCTTGAAAAAGTACACATTGTTGAGTAGACGATCGACAGCGCTAGTCTTATTATATAGATCTACCCCCGAAATTGGTGACACTGGTAATAATCGTGAGCATGTATCTCCACTTCAACTAAAGATTTCATCTCTTGAGTAATCGACAGCTCTATAGACAGTATCTACAACCACGACCCACTAAGTTCTAAGTTCAACTCATGATGTTAGTGGATTAGCCTTATGAGTAAACGTGGAGGCGAACAACACACCCTGGGCTTCAGGTATATCCGGTTTAGTTTTATGATTACATCAATTTAAAAGAGGTTACGCAGGTGACATGTTAGTTATCCTGAAAAGAGATCAGCTTGCAAACATTCGTAGGTTGGTCGACGTTAACAACTACAGCAAATTTACAATAAAAGAAACAGAAGACAGGGTCTTGTTCTTTGATATTTTAGGCTACAGAGGAACAATAAAAACAAGTATGGAGAAAACTATGGTACACAAAGCAAGTATTAAACGCTACAAAAGCAGCAACACAACAGCATACAAAACGAATTATGTCCAGACACTAATCACAGGAGTCAAACAAACCAACTCTAGCAACCAAGAAACAGATCGCCCTACGATGTGCGAAACTCATCTCAGAAATCATCACAAGGGCTCTAAAGCGCCTTGGAATAATCGTCGCCCACAAACCAATGCAACCACTCGATTTCATTCTATACGAACCAAAAGACACAACAACGAAAGAAGAAAAATGGGACATCATTTACAAAATAAATTGCACCAACTGCGGGACCTATTACACTGAACAAATTGAACGTCCTCTTCATCTATCCACAAATGAACACAGATCAGCGATAGAGAGACGTGATATGGTGTCACTGATATCGACATATGTAGACAACCATGGACGTGAATTTAACTAGAGAAACGTTGAAACTCTCTGTAAGAGAAATCCCAAGAGGGCCAGGGAATCTCCGTGGGGAAAACACTTGGGTCCGTTTGGAATAAACAGGTGCATTGATGTCCATCCAATCTACGAACCTATATGAAAGAGGCCAATTAATCACAGTGCTAGATTTCAACCAGCAAAGACAGTCGATACGAATACAATGAAAAATGAAGATAACAAAGTGTAAGAAGGCACCAAGTACTAAACATGGCCACGGGAACAAATAGATATAGTGTTTGTGGGATAACCAGAAATCTCACGTCTACGTGAAGTGGGAGCTGAAGATTTTGTCCAGAATGACAATTAAAAATCGACAGTTAAGTCACCTAACTTATAAAACAAAACTCTACCGGAAATTAGTCCATATGGCAAATCTTACTGCTACAGGAGCATCATATGGCTCATTGAATGAGAATATTTATGAACAAAATTGGTAGTAAACAGATACAAGTTATTCAATGCATTGAAATTTTACTTCATTTGAGGGTTTAATTTACAAGCGCCACCAAGTTTTCGTCAAAATCGTAAAACGAAGAACAAAAGATCTCACAAAAGCTGATGTTACTTTAAACAACAGAGAAATTCTTGAAAAGTGTCTTGAATTCTAGTACATCATTAATTAGATCTGAAAATCCAATGCTAAACAGATTTCTAGTTGGCTTTCATTCGTGCTCTTAAACTGCTGTTCCGATGCTTACTTTTATAAAACTTCCGGTGATGTCATTTTTACCACTTGGCTTTTATCTTTGTTAATTGGACTCACTGGACTGATATGAAGCTTGGTAGCAAGAATCAACGCACAGCCGTATCGAGTTCTACGCTGAGATAATTGACGAACTAGTTTCTCCTGCATCGTATTACTTATATTGAGAAATGGGTTAAAATTCTAAACAATTTCAACTTAATCTACTAATTCTTTGGGTATACTTCCGATAATTGTGATATATAGTTGGTGTGAATACTAATGGTTTGACGCCTATTTAGTTCTTGGTAATTAACGATCCTAAAAACAATCAACGAAACCAAACAAGATAATTAATCAGTTAGTTAAAGATAGTACAGTGATAAAATTAACAGGTAGCGGTATAAGTGTATTAGCCATATCGGCATGTAATTACAGTAATTTTCATTTGGATTTTATAGTAACTGGGTATGAAACAAGACCAATCAAATTGGTGAGATGTAGACAACACAAGAAATACAAGCCCCTGTGTTACTGAATCATCTAACATTTACATGAGCTGGATTACATTAGTGTGTCATCATCAAGCCCCTTTTGGAACCCATTGTCGACACATTTTCACCACATAACCGAACTCAAACGTTTTTGGTATAAATCTATGTTGAAACAAAAGACATACCGGGATACGAATGCATGTTATCTACTATCTATTTAGAATGAATTTTTCCCACCAACCACTGAAAGTTTTCGAAGTAATCGACAATAATATCTAACGTTATTTGGGCCCAAAAACGATACAGGATACAGCACATAGAGTTATGTAACAGAAGTGGTTTTTAATCAATTTAGTCGTCGCTTTATAACTCAAATTACATGAGCACTTAAAATATGCTATTCCTTAAAACTTAAATCTTAGAGACAAAACATCTAACGATATGTATCTACATAGACAGGTATAATCACCATTCGCAAGAATAAATTACAACGCCATTGAACAATCTCAAACTTATAATTTCGTGATACATTGAAATTTCGTTTTCGATCAAGCATCACAAGTTTAGCTGAGACTATAATTGATAGACAATATTTGAGCAACTTTATAGAGCGACCGTGAGAGTAAAAATACTGATTAGAACTAAAGCAGTTAGAACTTTCATTTACGATTAGAGTTGAAAATTGGATTTAGGGTCTTCATCACGAACTGAGATCATTTATAGTGCAAAAACTCAATTCAGCCAAATTAACAGACGAATTTCGCATCAAACGTTATAACTTCTTATCTCATATCTGATTACTTCGTTCATAGATTATAGCGTCGCACGAATTTACTTAACTTTTGTAACGTGACACGAGTTTCACAATAAAGTTTCGTTACTGTGTTGAAAAAATAAAAGTGATTTGGACTTTATGTAAACTTTTTTATTAATCTGGAACAACTAAAATTTAAAAATAAACCTTACGAAAATGAAGCAAGCGAAAAATAACGTTAGGAACAATCAATGCGCCAAGAGTTAATAGTAAAACTGAAGTTAAATGAACAGTAATAACAAGCACAAGGGCAAATGGTCACATAGGTTGTATATAAGCATTTATGTATGAAAACTTCCTAAAAAGCAGTAAATTTATCGTTCGTTTTTAATTTTTGTTAAAAATGTTATTTTTAATAGTTACTTGTACTTGCACAGAAAATAGATCATCAGTCTTCAGTAATATAGATAGCAGCTTAGTGAACCTGTGTTGATCCTGACAGACTACCTTCCAGTACAGGTCGAGCTTCTTCTTGGAAATATTTACTGATGGTGTTATACCACTTGTTTGGGTAAGGCGTTTCAGTCATTGACTACTCGATGATAAAAACGGAACTCCACTTTAAGTATATTTGATCGTGGTTTGTGAACCTTCTTGCTAATGATCTGGGGGAATAATGGTAATGTAGAGGGAGAAAATATAAGACATATGAACACCCAAATCATAGTTAAAAATATGAAATACCAGTATGCCTTCACCTCGCGGTAAATAAATCCACAAAATAAATAGCTCAATAAGTTCTCGACATTTGATGCTGACCACAGTAGTCTTAATGAACTAAAAAGCGCTCAGTCACCACACCAAATCATATGTGGGATTGTTGTGCTTAAAATACCCTGAAATCTTTAGCCAGTCTAAATCTGTCGATTCTCGATAATATTGATAGCCTATCAAATATATCTTCGAACCTGCTCGCTTCTGACTTTTGACTTCACTAGATGGGCACGATTCATAGTACGTGTTACTGGTTAAAGTGTTATCAAACTCTAAATACCTGTGGCACCTTCAGTACGGCACGACAAGAGGAAAAGATTCGGGCGTTTTAAGGGCTCATCGTACGAGTGTTTAGAAAGACCCTTCAATAATTCTGTTTCCACGTGCTGAACATGCTCGAATGAGTTAGTACCCTTTATCAGACATGGACTAACATCTTGGATACAATACTGTAACTGTGGTCTTAGATAGATGGGATGTAAATTTTCAAACATTTCCTCGTCAAAGAATTTGAATGCTCGATGAAGTGACCATAACTCATTAAAACCTTTGACAGAGGCTGCGTTACAGTGCGCAATTGTTTTCAAGTCATGACTTATTATTACTCACAATTCTTTATGTTCTTTAACGAGAGGAAGAAATGTACTATCAATAGTATAATAGTAACTATCGCCGTGTTCGATATGCATGAGCGAAATTCTCCTGGAATAAACTTCTAATCACCAACCTCGACCCCATCTGACTAATTCGTTTAAGTCAGCTTGGAGATCAGATGATCAGCCTTACTTCTTATTGTTCTCCAGATTTTGACATCATCTGCAAACGATGATGTCGATAACTTAAGCGATAGCAGTAATTCATCAACATGGAGAAGGAAAATTAGGAGACCTAGGATAGTGCCTTCGAGCACAACACATTTGACTTGCATTCGTATAGCGTTCCAGTGGCCCTCACCCTGTGTCTGAGATCAAACAAGAAGTTTCTTATCTATTCATGTACAGCACTTATTGTTCCGAAGCTCGAGAGCTTCTGAATAAAACTTAAGTGTTAAACCTTGTCAAACGCTTTTCTAAAGTCTATGAATATGACATCGACAAACAGACAGTTGTCTAGGGCTGCTGTTCAACCCTCTCTCGTAATAAGTAAGTTAGTCGAGCACGAACGCTTGTTACGAAACCCGTGTTGCTCGGGAGTTAACAGATCAAAATAATATATGTGACTTAGTAACTTACCCGGAATTACCTTTTCAAGTAACTGTGCTAGTTAGACTGACAGGAGGGTAGTTAGATACGATCTGTCTCTGACCATCCCGGAAGAGTTGAGCGAGAGGCCTTGAAATAATATCCTCTGGAGTTGACAGCAGTCGTTTATGTAAACCACCACGGTCCGGTATCTTACAAGGTTTGATGATAGTCGTCAATAGAAGGACAGTTTCCTCAATAAAATGCACACATCCTATGACTGGTATCTCGGTGTGATTGGGACGAGTATTTGTAGCAATACACGTAGAATAAACTTTGCTAAAATGGTTCGAAAAAGTCTCAGATTTCGCCCGATCTGATTAAGCTAGTAAATCTGAATTTGCGTGTAAAAGTAATGCGGGAATACCATAACTACACTTTGTTTTCCATCCAACATACGAAAATAATCGTTTCGGAAGAGTACGGCTATCATATGCCAACTGTCGTTCGTAAGTACGTAAGCAAGCTTCCGGGTTCCTTTATTCATCCATGGAAAGCAGTGTGGTAGGTTGCTTATTGACCATGGGATATACGGCGATATCACGGACTCGAATGCAGTCTTCAACCCATTCCATTCGTCTCCAATCGATCGATCTGCATCGACCGACAAGTCAGTCGAGTTAACGCAGTCTCTGACCGCCGAAATATTAACTGTTCAGATGTTTGGACGAGGTGGCGAAGGTACAAGTTATATATCATGTGTAAAACACAATGTGGTCACTATTCACTAGTGATGGAAGGTTCTGAATGTCAACGACATCCTCACAATGGTGTGTAAGTACAAATTTCAGCAATGACGGGTCATGTTCCAAGCCAATATGTGTTGGTTTTTCGATACGTTATGCAATTGCACATTGAATAATGGTTGGTAGAAGGTCACTATCGAAACACACACCTGGAGCTGTAAGCTGTATACAGTTGATATGTGGTGCGTTGAAGTCTCCAATAAGGAGACAAAATTCCGCCCACTCCAAGAACAGATGTGTCTTAAGATCCAGTCGTAAGCAAGACATTACGGACTGCTGTATTTCCCCCACATAGTCACTAACCCGTTTCCAGACTTATTTGTATAACATGGTGCCTTACATCTACCACTAACGTGAGCCTCCGAAATAGTTGATTGTATACGAAGATGATCCCTAATGTATAACACCATGCTTCCTACCTTGCGACTTAAAACTCCATCACTTCTATTACAGATATAGACTGCAATGGCAGTCTATATCTACGGTAAGACAATTTTTTGTGACAACAATAATATTGAAACTTAACCCATTCACCATAAGACTTAGCTAGTACGTTCTATTTCTAAGACTTCGATAGTTCGTGTAGCACTAATTTAAGGTGTTTTGGGAGTTATTCGCTCTACCCGTAAATGTATCAGTAGTATTGGCTTCCAAGACCTGACTACCCGTAAACCCTTAATCATAAGATTCGTTCATTTAGTGTCGAATTAATCCTCAAAATCAATAGTTTCGTAAGTCTTCGATATTTGAAGCTGACGGCTCTTAAGAGCCGTTGGCATAGCTGAGAAGTTAATAATCAGTACTTTTCTACAATTACGAAAGGGAAAAACTGTTGCTTGGTATCTTTTCAACGTGGTTGAAGTATACGGTTTTCATGTAAGCACTTTATGTGAAAACCTCTTGTTCATGTATTGTTGGGCGAAACTGCATTTTATGGATGAACCAATGGGATTTGAGATAACAGGCCTCGCGTTTTAGCACAAAATTCATCCACTCAATTGACTGAATATCATCTTGGCATTATAGCTGATGTCGGTTCGTAATAATAAACCGAAGGCTAATTCATAACCTTAAACCTTAAATGTTAATCATAATTCTAGTATATTACAATGCTTCATAACCCTTATTTAATCCTAGTAAGTAGGTTGAATTTTCAAGGTCACTATAACGTGCTAGACGGTCGTCCATAAATTATCGTATCACAAATAACATGCATTCATATCCCGGTATGTCTTTTGTTTCAACACAGATTTATACCAAAAACGTTTGAGTTCGGTTATGTGGTGAAAATGTGTCGACAATGGGTTCCAAAAGGGGCTTGATGATGACACACTAATGTAATCCAGCTCATGTAAATGTTAGATGATTCAGTAACACAGGGGCTTGTATTTCTTGTGTTGTCTACATCTCACCAATTTGATTGGTCTTGTTTCATACCCAGTTACTATAAAATCCAAATGAAAATTACTGTAATTACATGCCGATATGGCTAATACACTTATACCGCTACCTGTTAATTTTATCACTGTACTATCTTTAACTAACTGATTAATTATCTTGTTTGGTTTCGTTGATTGTTTTTAGGATCGTTAATTACCAAGAACTAAATAGGCGTCAAACCATTAGTATTCACACCAACTATATATCACAATTATCGGAAGTATACCCAAAGAATTAGTAGATTAAGTTGAAATTGTTTAGAATTTTAACCCATTTCTCAATATAAGTAATACGATGCAGGAGAAACTAGTTCGTCAATTATCTCAGCGTAGAACTCGATACGGCTGTGCGTTGATTCTTGCTACCAAGCTTCATATCAGTCCAGTGAGTCCAATTAACAAAGATAAAAGCCAAGTGGTAAAAATGACATCACCGGAAGTTTTATAAAAGTAAGCATCGGAACAGCAGTTTAAGAGCACGAATGAAAGCCAACTAGAAATCTGTTTAGCATTGGATTTTCAGATCTAATTAATGATGTACTAGAATTCAAGACACTTTTCAAGAATTTCTCTGTTGTTTAAAGTAACATCAGCTTTTGTGAGATCTTTTGTTCTTCGTTTTACGATTTTGACGAAAACTTGGTGGCGCTTGTAAATTAAACCCTCAAATGAAGTAAAATTTCAATGCATTGAATAACTTGTATCTGTTTACTACCAATTTTGTTCATAAATATTCTCATTCAATGAGCCATATGATGCTTCTGTAGCAGTAAGATTTGCCATATGGACTAATTTCCGGTAGAGTTTTGTTTTATAAGTTAGGTGACTTAACTGTCGATTTTTAATTGTCATTCTGGACAAAATCTTCAGCTCCCACTTCACGTAGACGTGAGATTTCTGGTTATCCCACAAACACTATATCTATTTGTTCCCGTGGCCATGTTTAGTACTTGGTGCCTTCTTACACTTTGTTATCTTCATTTTTCATTGTATTCGTATCGACTGTCTTTGCTGGTTGAAATCTAGCACTGTGATTAATTGGCCTCTTTCATATAGGTTCGTAGATTGGATGGACATCAATGCACCTGTTTATTCCAAACGGACCCAAGTGTTTTCCCCACGGAGATTCCCTGGCCCTCTTGGGATTTCTCTTACAGAGAGTTTCAACGTTTCTCTAGTTAAATTCACGTCCATGGTTGTCTACATATGTCGATATCAGTGACACCATATCACGTCTCTCTATCGCTGATCTGTGTTCATTTGTGGATAGATGAAGAGGACGTTCAATTTGTTCAGTGTAATAGGTCCCGCAGTTGGTGCAATTTATTTTGTAAATGATGTCCCATTTTTCTTCTTTCGTTGTTGTGTCTTTTGGTTCGTATAGAATGAAATCGAGTGGTTGCATTGGTTTGTGGGCGACGATTATTCCAAGGCGCTTTAGAGCCCTTGTAATGATTTCTGAGATGAGTTTCGCACATCGTAGGGCGATCTGTTTCTTGGTTGCTAGAGTTGGTTTGTTTGACTCCTGTGATTAGTGTCTGGACATAATTCGTTTTGTATGCTGTTGTGTTGCTGCTTTTGTAGCGTTTAATACTTGCTTTGTGTACCATAGTTTTCTCCATACTTGTTTTTATTGTTCCTCTGTAGCCTAAAATATCAAAGAACAAGACCCTGTCTTCTGTTTCTTTTATTGTAAATTTGCTGTAGTTGTTAACGTCGACCAACCTACGAATGTTTGCAAGCTGATCTCTTTTCAGGATAACTAACATGTCACCTGCGTAACCTCTTTTAAATTGATGTAATCATAAAACTAAACCGGATATACCTGAAGCCCAGGGTGTGTTGTTCGCCTCCACGTTTACTCATAAGGCTAACCCACTAACATCATGAGTTGAACTTAGAACTTAGTGGGTCGTGGTTGTAGATACTGTCTATAGAGCTGTCGATTACTCAAGAGATGAAATCTTTAGTTGAAGTGGAGATACATGCTCACGATTATTACCAGTGTCACCAATTTCGGGGGTAGATCTATATAATAAGACTAGCGCTGTCGATCGTCTACTCAACAATGTGTACTTTTTCAAGAAATTTTTGACTACATTTTATAGATCCAGCTCAACAAAAAATGAAGTTTATGAAATACATTTTTCCTCTCTCTTGCTTCGACACTGTAGAAACAGTATGGGAAAATTACAAAACTGTGCATTTAGGTGAAAAAGTGTTTGACATGAATGCATGAAATTTCATAACGTTATATGCTAGCTTAAATCTTAAAAAATGAAAAAGTGTTCACGTGATCTAATAGATCATCTTGTTTTATTATTTCGAGCTTATCTCTAAAAACTTAGGGAAGGTTCACATTCATCTAAGTTATAACTTAGGTTCGTATAACCAGATTTACATATGTCTTTGGTGTTGTTCTTTGTTTATCAGCACACATCTACAATACATCTGTTTTCTATTTTTCAACCCACCAGTTTACTTCAGCGTGTGATATTAAGATCTTATCTTGCAGTCTTTGGTTCTTATGAACCATGTTGATCCCTGAGGACCAAATATGGATGGTCGTTGTTGGTTTTATAATAGCTTTTATTCTTGCTTTTGGAATTGGTGCAAATGATGTGGCAAATTCATTCGGGACTAGTGTTGGGGCCAAAGTATTAACACTGAAACAAGCTTGTATTCTTGCCACAATCTGTGAATTAAGTGGTTCTGTTCTTTTAGGTAAATTTAGTTTGGTTATATATACACGTGTGTGCTTCTTCAGGTGCCAAAGTTTCCAATACCATACGGAAAGGTATTGTTAGTGTCGAACTTTTTCAAACCATCGACAACGGGCATGTACTCTTGATGGCCGGACAGGTTGCTGCTCTGGGTGGTAGGTCTATGAAAACAGTATTTTTTTCACTATATAATGTTTTTCTGCATTTTAAAAAGTAATCAACTACATTTAATCACTGGTGCTCACAATTATACATGAATTAAATAAAACTGATAAGATAATAATTCTCCTAGTGATAATGAGCTATTTCACTTCGAAAACTTCTCCATATATATATATATATATATATATACCAACATTCGGTCGACCGTAGCATCTATCTTGATGTGGTGGTCGGACTTGCCTATCGTGATGATTCTGCTGAACTACGTTGGTTGGAGTACATGTTTCTTTAGGTCCTACTGTAGTGAACAAGAACACCAATGGGGAAAATCGAATGTATTTGAGCACATAATTACAGAGCATCTCGATAAAATCTGAGAACCATATATTAAATCGTCTGTTGTAAGATATCAGCTCACTGAAGACAATGGTGTACGGTGGCGCAACTTCGTGGATTGGTTGAAGTTAGACATTAACACCGTTGGATGCCGGCTCAGTGGTATAGTTGGTTAAGCGCCTGGCGCGAGACTGGTAGGTCCTGGGTTCGAGTCTCGCGAGGAGCGGGATCGTGGATGCACACTGCTGAGGAGTCCCATACTAGGACGAAACGGTCGTCCAGTGCTTTCAGGTTTTCCGTGGTGGTCTAGCTTCAATGGACTCATGATTTCAACCAGTGAAATCGTTAATTTGCAAAATATCAATCCATCATATCAAACTTGACTGTTCCTGTTGCAAACATCAATCCATTGTCTCAGATTTCATTGTTCATGCGTTTTCATACCAATTGAGTTTTGTTCCCGTTCTTTCCTCATTGATCTTCTACTGAAATACATTCTATGCCTGACCACCGTCATATACTATTTGCGTGGATATAAGTAACCCACACCACACTACCATACCAGGGAGGTCGGTTGGAAGACGGTAATATTAAAGGTGGCAACTTAAGGCCCGCGGGCCAGTTCATACTGCTGACTGTAGTGGGGTATGGATGCAGTAAGGTATTTTCTCTGGACAACAAGCATCTGCATCCGGCGGTTAGGCGTTTTGAAGTGCGGAGCAAACTCATCAAAACGTCCCATATAAAGCCCGTGCGCGATTGGCCTTAAGCATTTGTCCCTTGAGCTCTGTGGTCACACTCATAGTTCGCCAAGACCACCACTAATTCAACATCCTTTTCAGGTCCCTCAAGAGAAATATCTTTCCGCGGTGTAGGCAACCAGGAAGTGACAACCGCTCTAATACTACTATCAGCACCTGATATCATCTTGTTGACGATCGAACCACCCCTTCATCTCTTAATAATTCTTCCATCCCCATGACTAACCCTTCTTACTTATCTTTATCAATACATGCCACTAACATTAATGATTTGAGTTCACGAAATGTTATTCCTGGTCTCTCGAAACTATGCTCTAAACTATATGTTTGAACTCGTAATGTTTGAACCTTGTGTCAGATGGGACAACAGTCTCCTTTAGCTAGGACCCTGGAATCTTGCGCCATCGATGTGTAATGTGTCTCTGAAACTCTCATACAGTATCCAAGTACAGTCATTCATTTGACCTCACGTTGTCAGTATAAAGAATCGGGACGATTTGCCCTACAAGTGACTGGAGACTTCACTGCTAGTTCCCGTGGTTTCTCTGGTGTAGGTTTAGCAATAAATTCCAAATTAAAACAGGCTTTCCTAGATTGGATTCCAATAAACAGTCGCTTGTGTGCTGTCCGACTAAACGAGACAGGAAGAACTCGACAACCTCATAGATGATATCATCGTCACACTAATAAAGTTGTAAGCTCGATTTTGGACCAAACGCATCCTGCAAATCTGCACAGACGGTGTACATCTCGAACTCGATGAGTGCGATAAACGGACCAAGTGTCTGACTTAGTAGACAAGGAACTCAAACGACTTAATCTCTAATCCGATGCATTCATCGTCGCCGGTACAGCAGCGACAAGGACGTGCTCAAATCGCATTATCCTATCTGTACTTTGTCTTCGTGTCAACTCTTCTCACTTATCTATTTGATGGATCATCCTATTACGATTATAATTATCATATTCTCATACATACTCAACGATAACTCGATGCATCTGGTTATGACGCGAGCAACAACGTACGCTAACTTCTCATTTTATTATTATTATTATCAATTGCAGTCCAGCAACGAATATCACCCATCAATGCAGTTATCATTTTATGGCTGGATTATTTTTATCTCACGTAAACTCCATGTATGTGGATTCGAATGCACTAATCGCTAATAAACTCTACTTACTCTACTAGGGCTTATTAGAACATCATATTTTACGGTTCTTTGTTCTTATATTCAGACGGCACCACAGACAAATTTCTGTTATATTCTGTCCTATTTATTCTCACGGTATATTCCGCTGTCATACCCATAAACAATTTATCACTCTGTTTTCACGATCTTTTGAATCGCTCATACGAACGTGTTATTCAATCATTCAAACAGTCACGAAATAAATGCATGTTAATTTTTGGTACGCTTAATAATTTGCTCATAATCGCATACTAACAGTCCACTTTTTGTCCCCATCTTTACGATATTCATGAACGTTTTTACATAAGTATAACAATTTCGTGCAATACACTCAGGCGACACTACTTTATCAGATATAGTACAATTTCTTTTCGCTACTTATTGTTTTCGTTAACTGAACACATCTTCAGTGTTAATTTCGAAAACAGACATTTTGAAATTAATTTGCTATTTTCTACAGGGGGGCTTTGTAGTGGCTGGGACTATGTCAAGCCCACATAGCTTATTCTAGCTTTCGGACAGGCCAATTTATTCATTTTCCTTGAGTCACATTTTCGACTTTGTTAATTATTCGCTTATCAACCTTGACCGTTTTTATGTAAGCGTATGTGTGTGCATTTGTTATCCGACCCATCACATGTATGTAACTTGATTTTTTGTCTGACTAGAAATATTGAGTGACGCTTGGTTAAGTTGATTTGATTCACATGTCTTCTCCGGTTCGTTTCGCTCCACCTTCTCCTCTTCTCTTCCTTCACCCCGTCTTTCTGATTGTCTATTCCAATCAACGATTTTACAAAATATACGTATTCAAAACCGATTCTTGTATTTGTCTTACTTTAATTCCGTTATTCACTGACGCGAGTTAAGTCGAGGGTTGACAACATGTATGTCTCGATAACGATCAGAAACGATCTAACTGGAGTCAGATATAGTGCCACTAGAAGTGTATTTTGAGATCACGGAATATTCAATGTCTGGGTTAGGAATAGAATACTAAGCAAAGATAGAAAATCGATTGATGATTTAATAAATCTTTATCAGCTGAGGTGTTTGGGACATGTGTAACGTATGCCCAACCACCGCCTACCTCGACAGTCGATGTTTTCTGGTGCGGGAGTAGACTGGCGGGAAGCCAGGGGCTGCCAAACCAAAACATGACATCAGTCTATGAAGTCACTGACATTTGGATTTAACTAATGTAAATAAGTACTACCTGGTTGGGGGTTGCGTGATTATCGTAACCAATGGTTGGAGACTTTGAATGACATGGCTCTAAATCGTTTGGAACGGCTCAGGTGCATCTATTCTTTGTCTTTATTCTGCTAATCTATATTTTTTTCGAGTCATATCTTCGATGTCTAATCTTGCCTATTACCACTGATGCTGTTACTACCTCTACTATTCTAAGATTTGGTCTGACAACTTCATCTCTCTGTGTTATTGTGGTATGGCAACTTGAACCGATGTACATGCGTATAGGTTCTACGTTGTGATTGACTAATATCAAATGTCGAATTACAGTTGTTACCAAACTGTTTAATGTCTTTTGTACAATAAAACATTTGATGGCAACTTTTAAAAATCTTAAATATTTAGTCAGTTTTGAAAGGAGATTTCATTATCCCAAAACAATGACGTACTTATTACAATGGCCCCCGAATGCCCTGGTATGGCCGAGAGTGGGGGGAGTCCGCTCCTCCTCTCGAAATGCTCTCACATGGCCACGCGTATACAGCCCCTGCCAGGGAAGTCCTACTCACTGCCTTCTCGTGGCGGGGGTGTTGTTTACGAAAATGAGAGGACGAAAAGCAAATGTCCGGCGCTATAACCGGACCCCAAATCAATGGTGCACATGGGCTCCGGTATCCTGCGAGAACAAAATGGCGTATGAACCAATAGTTGGTCACCGGCTACCATGGGACTGCATCTCCTCATGATGCTCCATTGCCTTGTGGATCAGATCTTCAGGTCAAAGGCTCGGGGTGTGGCCCCTAAGAAAACCACCTGCTTCGATTTGGGCACCCGGGCAGCATCACAGCCCTCACACATATCAAATGAGATCTGTGTGGCGCATATGTATTTGGTGCCTTCTTGTACCGATATCTATGTGTTAAAATAATAATAATAATAATACTTATTACAATATTGATAAAATAATTGTCAAATTATTTGTTAGTTTTTGTCCTATGTTTGAGTGAAACTGTGTGCAGAATTAAACTTAGTTTTTGTGATTATAGTTTTAATGTCTAGTTGACACATTTATATTCCATATTCTTAACAAATATTTACTTTTCTTAAGGTGATTGCTAATTTCCTGTTAAAATAATCTTTGTTGTAAAGTGATTTTTACTTACTTACTTACTTACTTACTTACTTACGCCTGTTACTCCTCATGACTTAACAAAATTTATTATTGGCTTCATTTGTGGTAGTCATATTTCTTAATGCTATTTATTTTTATCTAATAAAAATGAACTCCTTAGATATTTGTATACTTGTTTAGCAAATGCTATGTTCTCTTGAAGTCTGTAATATTGGGTTTAATGAACTCATGACAAACAGTTAAATATATACATTGCTACTATGTATTATTCAATTTGGGACTAACTATAACTTTTTGAGATTATTTCAGGTATTTAGCGTAGTTAGTATAATGGTTAAAAGATAACTTCTTAGTTTTCTTAATCTCTGTTCTGACGGGCGCATATCAATTAATTAAACTCGAATATCAAATAATTGACATTAAATAGACGTATTTGATAATCATACGTCTTTATCATTAGTAAACTGAATTCATAGAATTATACATATACTGATACAGTTTACGGGGATACTCACTATTTCGAGTAACCATTTTCTATTATATTTGTTTCGTTTGTTTATAGGTTCTTGTATTTGGCTTTTGGTTGCTACATTCTTCCGTCTTCCAGTCTCTGGCACACATAGTATTGTAGGTGCAACGATGGGTTTTAGTCTTGTTGTCTTTGGACTCAATGCTATTCAATGGAAAGGACTACTCAAAATTGGTAAGAATTTTCTTAAAATATAAAAATAATGAACATGATAATTATTTTTCTGAATACACTTTTGATAATTTAATGAGAATAAATTATTTAGTAGCGATGTTGTTTACTCGATACTGCAGTAATTATTTATTCGTGTAGTAAAGATTTTAACGCTATATGAATGATTAAGATTTCATACGGATTCATAACTTTGTAGTTTGAGTTCCATTTCAAACTTGAACAGCGTAAATTCTATTTGCTAGTAAGGTTATTATTACCATTTATAAATGTTTAGGAATGTGAGTAATTTGTCCTTTTATACATCAAATGCTTAAGCATTAATGATCCTCACAGTATCTTTATGAATTAAACTATTTTTCTTATGTTAGCTATTAGTAAAATCTGGTTCCCTTTTAATATATAAATAATTGCTTAGGTCTGGACAACTAAACATGGCTATCTATATAATGTACTTTATGCACCTTGATTTTCAATAGTAAACTGCAGAACATTTCGTAAATTTTACTTTGTTGTATTCTTATACTGGAGCGTAGGATAATCCACATGATTTAGGAAAGCCTAACAAAAAACGGATGATTTAATAAAACCTAGGAGAGATTTTAAACCATAAGACATTCTGATAATTAATAAGCTATACAAGTTACATTATAAAATCTAAACATAGTTTGTTTTTCCTTATTATCGCTTTTTAACTACATTGGAATCATAATACCTCAAATATTTTTGTCAGTCTGAGGTTGTGGAGATTGCTGAGTTTCAATGAAATCACAAACCGATTTAAATCAGACAACCATTCGAAAGTTGGAAGCACTGGACCGCCTTTTTGTTCTAGCGTGTGACTCCTAAATAGTGTGTACCAACGATCCCAGAACCGGGATTCAAACCCAGGACTTTCTATCTACAGAACAAAAGTGATAAGTGTCAGATTTTATATACGTATCACTTTTTGTATATATGGTTATACGTTTTGGAACAGTTTCTACTGCACACTATGTATATAGCCAAACAGTTTGTTCCTGGAATAGACTTACTTTATTGATGTAAGTGTTTTCCCATGTTAAGTGATCAGAATTAGACGGTATATTTCATCATTTGACTCAACAATGATTGTATGTGTTCACTCAGCTGATTTCTACTAATTATGTAAAATTATATGCATATGCGAATTTTGTCACAATGATGGTTCCACAAACAACGCAAAAATACAATACACTGAGTTGCTTGAAGTAATGTTTCGATTTTCTATATTTAGAACAAAATCAAATAATAATAGTCGCAGTTTTTTGAAAATGAAGTTAACGTAGATATATTTTGCAGTAGAATGAGTTATCTTAGATCCAAAGCAAAACTTACGTTTGATTTATATTTACAGGAGAACACTAGATACAGTCGTTTGAGTATGATGTCGTCGGTGCAAAGATATATTTCGTATCTATTTTTTCTTCAAGTAGTGAAAATTTAATCGTTCCTGACCAGTTTGCTACTTGTTCTATTGTTTATTTGTCCTTCGCTTTGGTATTTTAGAAATAATATTTTTTTTCTTGAACAAACATTCCTATTTGCCTATATTCTGTGTTTACTTCAACACTTTTCTCTTTTTGTTCTGCTATGAAATGCTACAATTAGTTAGTATGTATTTATTATTTATGGTTTGATAACGCTGAGTCTTCACCACCTAATTATGAACAGTACTTGCTGTAATATAAGTGATGACATTGGTTGGATGGAAAATCTATATATTCTATGTAGGTATTGATTTATATAATAGTGGACTGAAATAAACTAAATATAATGAATAATCTCATAGACCAAATAATATATTTTTATTACTTGAACTACTGAGCAGTTTTATAATCATAATAATAGTGTTATAAGTAATTTAGAGAAGAAACATGATACTATTTGATGAATAATGTAACTTACATTGTATTTCTAGGCTTTATTTTTCATTCACATTGGTCTTTTTTATTGAAAGTTACATGACTTTCCATGTTTAAATAAAAAAAATGTACACCTTTTCGATATTTACTTCACACTAAAAATACTGTAATCAATTTCGTACATTTTCAGGATTTGATTATACTTTGCCTACATTCATTTCTATCGTATGACAGTTCAATTAAATATACCGAATTATTGAATAATAATAATAATAATAATAATAATAATAATAATAATACTTGCTTGCTTATGCCTGTTACCCCTCATGGAGGAGCATAGTTCGTCCACCAGCATTCTGAGACCAACTCTGTCCTGGGCAATCCTTTACAGTTGTTTCCAGTTGCTATTCATCCTTTTGATGTCTGCTTCCGATAATGATTATAATTAATTTACTGTTCTACTTATTGACACTTTATACTTATAAGGATTGAATGAGTATTAACTTTTTGTATAACATATTCATACTACATAATTTGATAACTCGACTGTAATCTACTGTTTTTACATATTATATTTTATGCAACTATACATGTAGAACTGTTCATTTTATTTGTTTGTATATAAATATGGAATGCTATCATGGTCATATTCTAGAACGGTAACGATAGCTAATGTTGTTATTGTATATAATTGACTTTAATTGTGTAACTTGGACTTTATTTTCTATGTAATTCCTTTTATTTGTTTCTATAAACTACGAATCAAATATTTTCATACAGAGCTTAGTTAAGTTTTCCTAAAATAGTTTTTTTCTTATAACTTGTAAAGGGCTAGTTATCTTTTATTTTAAAGTAGGATAAATTTGTTCAGTTTCTTCACTTGACTTTAGATACATTCATGCTGTATAGACTTATGTTAATTGAGATGACTGGTTTGTTAAAATTTTTTCCTCATTTTGGAATTAGTTTTCACAAGGAATTATAACAGTAATTCACATTCTTCTGAATTTAACCAATTAGCAATAGATAGCTATATTAATATTCATTGTTATCGATGACTTCCTGATGAAACCTAACTTTAGAATGAATTATTCTCCATAAATTAATGAACTAGACAGAAGACATATTTTCGGACTATTTAAAACGTTATCAATGAAATATGGTTCATAAACGATTTGATTACTTTATTTCTGAACATTATTTTAATGTAATTTACTAAATATTACATTTAATATCTCCGTTGTTGATGCCTACATAATCAAATGATAATAATACCAATGAAACGTATATCCTACTTACTTCGTATACATTCTGTCGAAAAATCACGTTGATACAACTTAGATAATAAAAGTCAAGTACGACTTGTACGTATACTTCAAACATGCTGATGTCGAATGACAGACAGACAAATAAAATGTCTACAGAGTGTACAAAGCACTGGAGTTCGGCAGTACACCGACTCAGAGAATAGTAAGGTGACTCAGTTTTTATAAATCATGTAAGAAATACAGGAATGGGATATGCATATACGTACTATTATACACAGATGTATAAAACGTGCTCAAGGTTACACAGGACTAATTAACGAGAATAAATGTATGTGCCACAGAATAACTGGAAGGATTAGAATAAATTCTGTGCAAGTGTTGTAATAAATCATGTAGGCGTGTAATAATACATATTGTTACATAAGTTTTGAAATTTCTTTCATTCTCCAGTTAACTGTTTGACTGCATGAAATTAAGTTTTTGGTTTATTTGTGATTAAAAATCCGGTGATATAACCTGTTAAGATATGATTCTTTTAATAAACAAGCCAATAAGTTGATATACGGCTTTCACCAAACTTCAATCACTTAGTCAAGCTCTTTAACCTATATTTCTTGGACAACAAGATTATTAAGTATCAAAATCAAGTATTTCTCTTATCGACAAATTATTTATTATAATATCTAACTAATATAACAAATTACTACAATGCTTAAATATTATGGAAACCAAAGGTGTTTTTAATTCATATGTTTGGATGATTCGGTTTTGGTGATGAACGAGAAGCGAGCCATACTTTATTGATCATGAGAAATATAAACTTAATTCTCTTAAAAAGAACTACTGGAAATCTGTTTTTAAGGAAATATCGAATCGAAAATATTAACTGAGTTTTGTGTCCAATAAAATTTTGTCCAAGCTATTATGTTTACTAGTCAGTTTCAAACGATTTTAAGAATTCTCATTGGTAGACTAGGAAAAGATGAAATATTCTCATGCTGATAGTAACCAATGTAGATACATTCAAAATGTAATTATTGCATGCTAACATTAACCATCTTATGTTAAACCGATCTACATACTGATCACGAAATTTCTTTTATCATTTGATTTTATTTTTAGCCACAACATATTTCTGTGCAAGTTCAACTTACAAATGCATTGTTTTAATAATCGTTTGATTTTCTGATGCACACTTTAACAATTACCATAAGTGAATGCTTTCTAGAATAGTAAGGGGATAAAAATGTAATATCCATTGTAAATTATGAAAATGGCGAACACTTCTTTGGATTAATGCTAGTATTTCTGGTAAAAGTACAATGTAAGGATGAGTTTAAAATAACTGCGACGAATTTCTATCTAGTTTCTAAACAATCAGAAAATAGATTTTATAAATGGATAGGTTATGTAAAGGAATTGTATACAGATTTCACAAAATAAATCTATCAATGTCTTCTGAAAGTTACTTTGTTTGTAAGTTGAAGAAACAACTACATATAAACTCGTCCCCATGAATATAGACCGTCCATCTTTTTGAATAATTTAAAGGACCCCAACAGATTCTCAGGAGTCCTTACATTGTTGCAAGTTAGAGTTAGGGTTTTCATCACGAAATGGCGTCAGCTGAAGTGAAAAAACTACTTTATTACCATATGGAAGAATGAATTTCACTCGAGAATACAAAAGGCACTATCTGATTAGTTCGTCCATATACTGCTACGAGGTTAAAGTTTGTTACAGGATTAAAAGTTTAGAGTTAGGATTATAGGGGTGGCGTCGATTTGCCTGTTATATATAATCTACAGAAAAAGGATTGATCATTTGATGCGTTTAGTATTATCATTTTTACTCTATAGTTGCAAAAAATAATTATCTACAATCATTTCAAACGTTTTGAAAGACATACGAAAGTATTTGTACTGTTCATTATACATAATTTCACGCAAAAGCCTAAAATTTGCACTGTTGACTGTGAGTGGCTCGTCTGCACACCATACTTTTACCAGATTTCTTATTAATATTTAAAGATTGTATCTTTATAAATTGTAATTAGAAATTGTCAACTTTGTTGCAAACATTTCAGTTGTTCAACATGTAGACTCAATTCTGCTTGTCTGTGTTAAAGTTGGTCATCAATGTCCAGTTTTTGTCAACATCCAGATATGCATTCGTGACCAGCATTCATTTCATTAACTCAAGGGTTTACAATGTCATCTATCAGTTTTACATGTTTAGTACTGTAACTGAAGTCTCGTCAAGATTTGGGCGAGTATTTTCACGAGCATTGGTTGTGGAAGAAATTGGTTAAAAATTATATCTGTAAAAATCTCAGAAATTCAAATGAAATGCATTCAAAGTTTGACTCGGCAGTCCAATCTGAGCTTTTGCAGGGAAAAGTCAAAACTACCAAAGATAGATTAGGTCGAAAGTAATTCTGACCATGGCGTAATGCCTTTTATAACCACTCTATGAGAATGACGTCCACATCATATACGGCTGTTCTGATATATTTTTTCACTGAATGATTCATGTTAATACTGTAAATGTGATCGGCATTAGCATGTAATTGAACAATTTAGTGTAAAATAACTTTCAACTTATTCTATTTTAGATAATTTTGATTATTTCCTTGTAGTTAGGCGAATTGTTATAACTATTGAATTTTAATCTCTGAGAATTTCGCAAATAGAAATTGTACCTTTCGTATAGCGTTTACGAAAGTATCTTATAACATTGTCTCATTATAGTTTAGATAATGTTATATAAGATTTTGTTTCAAAATAAAGACTAAATGAAATAACACACCAATATTAATAATGAGCAAATAAATTAAGTCTACGACATTAATTGTTAACTTTTTACTATCCCCCATGAACTGTATACCCAATAATGATTATATCACATTTTGTTTATTATTAACCCAACATGACTTGTGAGCATCACTACTTTTTAAAATAGATAACGTCTATTTAATTGTTGTTACATTGTTTTATCGATTTCAATTTAGTTGGATCATGGTTTCTCTCACCTCTTCTAAGCGGTTTGGCATCTATCGGAGTATTTTTCCTAATGCGTTTTATGGTGCTCAGAAAAGTAAGTTTTCAACTATTTTAATGCATCATATTTGATCTCATGCTCTCTTATCATAAGAAATTGGGTTACTACTAGATTTTTAAACCAAATTTTCGAATTTGAATCCCTTGCAATGTTTACTTTGGAGGTATTTTTTCAGAAGATCGAAACTAGTTTTGTTATTGATGATGATAAATGTTTGCTTGTTATTACTTATTACACAAACGTTATTATTTTCTTCTACATTTTGATAAAATTAAAGAATGAACAAATCTGTGTAACTGCGATTGACTTTTGTTTGTGCCAAATGTAACCTCTACCAACTTATCCTTATTATCTAGTTGTCACTTAGTAATTACGGCTACACTTCAAAACCACTGAGTTCATAAACTAATGTATTTGTCTTGGTTTGATGACTACTTTATGAATCCTTCATACCTACTAACAATATGACTGTCTTGATCAAGATGCTCTATTCACGTACTTTTTTTAAGTAATGAGTTATAGTGAGTTTTTCATTGTGTGCGGATTTCTATCCCCAGCAAACATGAACATGGTTTAATGGGTTATCTCAGCTAAATTAATTAATGCTTCTAAGATATTAAAGACTCCATACACGCATTCCTGCTTAACAAGCATTTTTCAAATGTGCATAAAAAGGTGGTCTACCATATTTTGTTACATACATTATGCTCTGTTATCGACTCAATATTTTTGTGTTACTGTGAAGGTTAATAGGAGAGTTTACATTTAAATTATACCAGATATCTAAAAAACTTTTGGGGTTATTACAATCAAACGATTTAACAATTGTCCTTGTCACAATTTCATGCACATGATAAAATACTTGTCTTTTATTCTTAGTGTGAGTAAGAACACTTAAATGTTAACTTCCTTTTATTATGAATAAAATCATGTTTAACCAATGACTTTCCAGACACTTAAACTTTTGAAGCTGATAAAAGACGTGACAGTTTTCATCCAATTGACTTACTCTATGTAGACGTAAATATAAGAAAGATTTTTTTTTAAAAGTATGCGAATCTGTGATATGTGAATTGTATTGTGGCTTTTAATGTATCGTATATTATACGTAGACCGGGAAATAAATTCTAACTGTCCGATTTCCCTCGCAGAATTATCATCTTGCTTGGCGCCCAATGCTTTCGTGAACGTTTATGATCCGTGTTCACAGTAAAATTCGTACTTTCCGCTCTATGTTGGAAATACTTTTTGCCAGGTAAATTGGTAGCAATTCTCTTCCAAATGTACTATACCCCGTTTGTGTAGGATTCAATCTCTTTGAGATAAGTGAAAGCGGTTTCCTGGTGCTATTTTATAATTCAGTATAGGAGTTGTGGAGATTACAACTGTTGTAAAACGGCTCCTAACTCTGCACTCGATGCTTCAGTCATGATGGCTAATGGCATTTCACTCCGTCTAGCTAGAATAGTTTATTGTATAGTGCTTTCCTGGCGTTCTGGAATGCTTGTATCGCCTCTGATGACAGATGAAACGTCCGGGCATGTCCATGCAACGCATTTATCATTGGCTGCAGTATTGTCTCACAATTCGGGATAAATCATTTATAATAATTTGTTAGCTCTATAAATCGTCGTAACGT